CCTCCAAATTGTCCCTTATAAATACCGGAACCTTACATAGAAAAAGGGACGACTCTCTGGTAACAAAGGAACCTACTTCTTTTCTAAAAAAGTGATCTTTGTGTTCCCATTATATCTCAACTAACTTAACCTTCGGAGGTAAACGGGGGATATTACCCTACCATTTGTGAACCAAACAAGTGATCTTGGTTCGGTGACCTTGAGAACATTGTACTTCCCGACCAGAATTCACCGCTTCAATATATATATATACTTTTTTTTTTCTTTTCGCCCAGCTCGTGCATCATTGCATGCATGCTTGCTTGCTTTTGATTTTTGTCCTTTAAACTCGTACCGAATCGAGTGGTCCGATCCCACAAACCAAGAACCGGACATGTGTCCGATCCGAATGTTCCTCGAAACTTTCTTGCAAGGTCACGGTTAAATCCAGTCAAAAATTGGCAAGACCTTGGATTTTTTCAAATTGCTTTGTTGATTTTTTTTTTCTCAGCTAAATACGTTTATTCCTCATCCTATTTCTTCCTCTATGGGTCCGTTTTGTTCATGGGATGATACAGGATTGGATTAATTATCCAGTGTCATCCTATGTTTGGTTACATTTTACAAATAGGATGACATATCTCAATTAACCGAATTAATCCCCTTGTTCATGGGATAAAATAATCCCATGAGGGATGTGGTATTAGTTATCTAGGAATGACTAAGAGATAGAATGATGAAATATTAAACTAATTTATCCTTACAAACAATATAAAATTTATACTCTCATAATTATATAACCTTACCCTTATACGATATATAACATGAATGGACTAATTTGCCCCTCCTAATTAGTTTAAATTTTTTTAACAAATTTGCCCCTACTACTAACATAATAATATTTGAACTAATTTGCCCTTACGAATGATACAAATTCATATTGAATATTATATAATCAAACTCTCAAACAATGATATGATAATAAATGGACTAATTAGTTTAAATTTTTTTAACAAATTTGCCCCTACTACTAACATAATAATATTTGAACTAATTTGCCGTTGCGAATGATACAAATTCATATTGAATATTATATAATCAAACTCTCAAACAATAATATAACAATAAATGGACTAATTTGCCCCTACTAATTATATTAATTTTTTTGGACTAATTTGCCCCTATTCATTATTTTAAATTTTTGACACCCCTATTAATGAATTTAAACTTTTGACTAATTTGCCCCTACTTATATCATAATAAAAGGATTATATTGCCCTTACTAACCTTATTTTCTCAAGCAAATTCTATATAAGCTCAAGCTTGACCCAAAGAAAAATATTTTATTGGCTTGAGCTTAGGTCATTTAAAACTCCTGAATGGGTTGAATTTTATTTAATTTAACCCTATTTTAGTCAAAATTCAGCCCATTATTTACTTAAATTTCAAATTTAGATTCAAAAACTAGGTTAAAACCTATTTTTAAGGGTCCAATTGGGATGAGTTTGAGTGATTGCAAATTCTTCTGTATCATAGCTCTTGATTTACTTTATAATTCTAAAGTTTAAAATTATTTTATTTTATTAAAATTTATAGTTTATTAAATTATTTTATTAAAATCATCCTATAAATTAAGGGGTATTTTGGTCATTAAAATAGTAATCATATCTCATCCAATCTCCAACCAAACACAATATAGGATTATTTCTCAATATATCCTATCCAACTTAGAATCACCCAAATACTAGATAATTTGGATTATTAATTTGAGGATGAATCAATCCCGGATTAATAATCCGAGAATGAATCATTCTATCTCATCCAGTCCGTAAACCAAATGAGCCCAATGGGTTCGACTCCATTAATCAAAACGAACCTTAAATTCATTTGTTAAACAAAATCTAATCATAGATCTAAAGGACAAGGAAAATAGCGAGAAGGATAAAAGGAGAAGAGATAAATTTTTTTTTTTAATTTTGAGTTTGAAAAAAAAACTAACTTGTATAAAGCTCGAAAAGACAAAAATTCAATTAATAAAAGAAGAGTAGCAGCTGAGAAGCAATTTCGCTGACCCTAACAACAAGTAGCGGTTCAACAAAATTATATTCCATACCCTAGCCCTAGTCAATTGGTTACCACCCATTAATCAACTAACCCGTAGGATATGGTCGGATATACAAGGTAACTCGACTCTTATGTACTTGTAGAAAAAGAAAAACAGAATTAGATTAACAAAGAAAACAATACAATAGTTGTCCAAATTAATAAAAATGTTCAATCCTGCAGCTCTAAAAAAATCACTAACAAAATAGAAAATCAAAACACAATAGATAATTAAAACAAAAAATATTTCAAATATTTATTTTCATTCTTTTCTATTTCTTGAAATCTATTAATTCATTTTTTTATTGAAGATGACAGATTATTTTACAACAAAAAAATGTAAGCTCTAAAAATTAAGAACAAAATAAATAGAGTGGTGAAGTGGATAGAATTCATGAGAAAAGAAAGAGAAAAAAATAAGAATAGTAGAGTAAATGAAATTAGTGGCAACGAAGATAGGAAATTGACAAAGTAATAAGTTGTGAAAAATAAAATATATAATGTCATGGGGTTCATAACTTAAATTATTAGTAAAGGACTAAAGAATTATGGGTTGAAGTTTGGATAGTAGTTATCTTAACCAACTTTGGATATATACGAGTAGGTTTAGCTAATCGTGAATTTTGAAAATTGAAAATCATACCTTAACCTAATTTTTCAAATAGGTTCGAGTAACCTAACCATTTTAAAAATTACAAATTGATTACCCTATTTTTGAATTTGAACCAATTCAGTTTTTTGGATTATCTCTCTTTTCGGTTCCTTTTTAACATTGCTAGCGGTAAGGGAGTAGACGAAATGAATAAGAAACATGAGAAATTAGTTTTTAGGGTTCAAAATTTTTTCAATTCTACGTTATGACTCCTAGAGTTTTACAAAACTAATAATTCATCTGGAAATATTATCCCAAGTTTTAGTTTTATTTGCACATAAACCCCTGAGTTTAATTCTGAACTTGTAAAAAGTGTGCATTTGGTTGTATGAATTGCTCATTGGTTATTCATATTTTTATTTAATTGTTAAGAATTTTTGGAACATCACACATTCGTGAATAAACCTTTCATGACACTGGACACTGCAGACTTTTGATGCCTGCCGGGACACACACAAAATGTTAACGAAATTAGTAAGCATGAGAAATTATTGAAGCCTAAAGCTGCAATTTTTTCAGTTCACATTCGTCATGAGCGACAAATCCTGCCGCAGTGCATGCTCATCACCTTTGCCATGTTTGTGCTCTGTCCCTAGACCTGTTAACGAACCCAGCTGTTCATTTCGAATAGCTCGTATTCGTGAAAGGATAGTTTGAAATATTAAACGAATCGAGTTTGAACGAATTTTTTGTTCGATTAATAATCGAGCGAACACGATTAATAATCAAGCGAATACGAGTATGTTCGTGAATTTTAACGAACGTTTGCGAACATGAACATAATTATCGTTTGACAAATTTTAGGGTTAATTTTATAACTGGACTTTTATATTTGGAGGGCAAATTGCTTTGTTTTATTTGTTGTTTTTATGTTAATATTAGTTGTACAATTAATGAATAATAGAATTTAGTCACTTAGTGTTTTAATTGTTTTTGAGAATAATTAATAATTTGCATGGCATATTTAAGGTTTAAAATAATTTGGATTTGAGCATTTCAAGCATGTTCGCGAACAGCTCATTTATGTTAATCGAGCCGAACACGAACTCGAACTTAAACACAAATTTTGCTTAATGAGCTGAACACGAACACAGGTTTAGAGTTCGAAAATTAAAGAACAAACACGAACGTTGTTCGAATCACTTAACGAACAGAGCTCAAACATGAGATATTCGATTCGATTCGATTCGTTTACAGTTGTATCCCCTCTTTCCAGTGAATCTGTAGACAGACAGGTTCAACCCGGAGTTGGGCCTACTCCTGGACAAGGAAAAAGTCAAGCCCAACTGTACTTTGGGAGTCGAAGAATTGCTGCAAATTTATAGGCCGGTAAATCTTAGGTGCGACCCCTCCAGTTTGGACTTCTGAATCTGCCGAAGATAACAGCCTATAGTCTGTCACCTTCGTTGGGCCCAATTGTGAGAGCTATTTTCGAGTTAACTGCTAATTTGCTAATTCTCGGTGGACAATTGTGTGTCGGAGCCCATCTAAACTTTAGCCGCACAGAAACTGATAATTGGGACTTGTATATAATATGGAGCTCAGAGTCGTTGCACTTCCTGCACTGCACAGCATCAAGATTCATTCAAGATGTCTCTGCGGCGTCCATTAATATGGTGAGTATTTATTTCCTCTGGAAAAATGGGACAAAGAACGGGGGTTGAAGTTGGAGGTCATGTTTCGGTTATTGTCAAGGTTCCCTCCATTGAGATTGATACCACCTGAACTATTATACATCTACATGTAGTACAGCTTTTGTTTCATTTGCGAAGAAAGTTGTTTAAAGATGAACCATAACTGGTAGTGTATTTCAAAGCCATCGTACTAACAAACCATTTTGGTCCTTACTTTCTCGTAATTTGCCTTCTTCTTTACCTAAAAGGCATCTTGAAATGGCAGCACTTGAAAGCCTCAAATCTTTGACAGACAGTGAGGATGTTTCAATTGAAGTCGTTTTTACCTTTACCAAAACTGGTATTGGTTTCCCATTGGATTCGTCCGGCATTTGCCTTTGTTTTGACCCTCAGGTCTTGACCAATTCCAGCTAATCTCTGTCCAGGTCTATAAATGAATTAACATGGTACCGCGAGCTCCAATTTCACAAATTTTTTCTTTAGTAATGTTCAATTCGCCCATTAATTAACGAACAGTTTTTAAATGGCAGGCGCGCTAATCGCACCAGAACATACACGATTCAGGGCAATCAACAGGGCTCAGATGATAATACTCGTCTATTACTCGGAAGAAAAAAATACTACGGGACGACTCTTTTAGAAGTGGCCAAGAAACTTAAAATTAACAGAATTTTAAAAGTAGGGAATATGCGATTTGATTTAACCCAAAACAACAGGGTCATGGAAGAAGAAACTTGCTAACGGACGGATCAGTTAGTGAGTACGTACGACTTCACAAGTCTAACAATAAGGCATCTTTCTTTGATGAGGAGGCGTTTCTGCTGCTGCCGCTGCTGGAAAGGCTCCACTGATCCGAAAAACCCATGGAAGAGGAGCAGAACCCATTCCTGCATTTAGCCACAGTTCTGACACTCTCGATCAACTCTTGGGTTCGAGCCTCTTGTGCCAAAATCTCCAACAACTGTTGAGGGCTAATCACCAGCTTAACTTTCCAAAAACCACCAAGCTGATCATTACTGCTGCTCCGCGAAAATACCTCGGTATGTGACCTCTTCAGAATTCCTTGGCTATCAAACGACATCCTATATGGCACTGCAGGCGTGGATTGGGGAACGCTGTTTGACCTTACATGCCCTATCTGAGCAACCTGCCCAACTCTACTCTTGTTCATGCTACCTTTCTTCATCTTCTTCTTCTTGTCGTCCTCGTCGTCCAGCGGTAGCAGGTAGTACTCACCTGCTTCCAAGACTTCGTGGTGAGCCAACGGCTTCCAGAAGAGATCATGGCTTCGGAAAATGCCGTGTCCCGGGAACTCATCGGTGATGAATTCCACCGTGATAGGAGCACCAAACTCCATGATGCCACCATTCCCGTTTACCACTTTGATGAGCACTTCATTCGCCTCTCCTACGCCTATACCTATACCTCCTCCAAACAAGCAATTCCCCATTTCCTGGCTAGCAATTCCCAGCTAGCTACTACAGTCAAAGTACTAGTAGAAAGAACTTGTACTCGATTGACAGGGTCGCTTTGCCTGACCTTTGCAGCTTAAAAGAACACTTGGTCGTCGTCGGTGGAATGAGTTCTTTACTCTTTATATTTACAGCTTTGCTTTTCTTGATTTTTTTTTCCCGAAACGATAGAAATTGTTTTGCTTTTCTTGATGCTCCAGCCAAAAGTTTAAAAAGACGTAGTATTCAATACTAGTATAAAGAAATTCGTATTAGCGTTGGCCGCCACAACTATTGCGTTTAGTGACAATCATCTGCGTTACCATTTTTACTACATGGCAAAACTAAAGCCAACAACGAAAAGAAAACAAACCATACATAGACCAACACTCCAACTTACCAGTTCTGTGGGATCCATTCGACACTTATAGATTTCCAAAAAGAAAATTTGCTGCCTCGTGATTTCAGAGTCATATTGCTCTAGTCAAATGCAAAATGCTTAAAGAACAAATGAGATTATAGTTTAGCATAGGGAGAGGCGCCTTTAGCAATTTTTTCTTTGTTGCTGGCCCAATTATCTTGCTAGTTTACATGAATCTTTTTTGCCTTCCCAACCCCACCTCCCCCTTTTAGAATGGAAAGTCCTTTTCTTCTTTGGATAGATTACATTTTACCTCTTATAATTTAGTATTTTATCACATAACTCCTTTATGATTTAAAAACCTATATATAACCCTATTACAATTTGGATTAAAATATCACAGTTAGTTTTTCTGTTAAAACTAACGGTCAATAGTAAAAAATCAAAGTTAAACTAGTAAATTGATAAATTTACCCTTTCGTTACTTCTTTTTTTTCCTCCAAACATAAAAAAGAAGAAATTGAAATAAAAAAAGATAAATAAGAAATAGACAATACCATTAACAATTTGGTTTAAAAACCTATAATGATATTTGTAGTATAAAAATATTTGGTATTTTTTATTTCTTATTTATTTCTTTTTATATTTCCCTTCCATATTTTTGTTTCTTATTTATTTTTTTTAATTTTCCTTCCATCTCTTTTGTATTTAGAGAAAATTAAGATTTTGTAGACCAAAATGTAGGTTTCAAAATCACTCTTCTTTTCCCCAAAAACAAAAGAGAGACAGAGAAAGAAAAGGAAAAAAGAACAAAAGTATGAAAAGGTGAATTTGTCAATTTATTATTAGTTTGATTTTGATTTATTACTACTGACCGTTAGTTTTAATCGAAAAACTAACAGTGATACATTAACTCAAACCAAAAGGGGATTATGTGTAAGTTTTTAAACCATATGGAGACATGTGGTAAGGTACCAAATCACATGGAGGTAAAAAGATAATTTGCCCTTTTTTATAATCAATTGACAGCATATATGTTATCCTATTTTACAGGGGAAGGTTCTTTAAGAATGAAAACTTTTTTTTTTAATCAATCCGCAACATCTAAGCTATCCTGTTCTATAGTAAAGGGAGAACCCAGTTGGGTTATATAAGTGGTTAGAGGGAAAACAGGCCTATCTAGACTAAATAGATACTTTTATACACTAATTGTATTTTTCTAACAGTAGGGTGCAGCGATTTGAACCCAGACTTATAGCCCTAAGAGGGATTTTAAATCTCTTTTGGTGCCCAACTTACCTAAGATAAATTGATTTTTAAGAGTGGAAACTCAAAGCATCAAGGGAAATCGATAATGAGAATTATACTAATGAAAGATAACTGATAGATTACTACCGCACACTTGCATGCCTTATCCGTGGTGTGGAATTAGTACGAGGAAATTTATGATTAACCTATAATAAAACTAGGCTACTACTAAACCTGGGTGGAATTAATCATTCCGAAAGAGAAAATGGTCACTTCCATAATGACAAATCTGTTGTGGTAGACACTCGCATCTCATCAATTTAATTTGTCCTCTGGTTACCACTTTTTTGAAGTCTCACAAGGTTTTTGCATCGCTTACCTATCGTACTTTGACGTATAGTTTGGTTTTCACAGATCCGTGAACTGCCCTGGATTTTTTTGGATTGAGTTCGATTTTGATCCATCACAGGTCAGAAGATACCCTTCGAACCATATGTAGGTTCATTATAAGAATTTTTATGCATCGACTAACAACACAATTCTCGTATTAATGATATTAATGATGAGATTGGAACATTTCAAATCCCTTTCAACTAGAGTTGGAGTCAAATGCAGGTCAACCCCTCTCCTAGCTTCACTCCAAGGAAAATGCTCATCTCTCAAGGGCTTCTCTGCTCCTCCTCACATTCATTAGTGGTGAAATTCTTAGAGAGTGAAACTCTAAGAGGGGAGTCTTCGTTTCACTCCTACTCCAAACTCTGAATGAATTGTTTACGAAGCATCTGTTCTTATTCAAGCTCTTTTGCACTCATGATCCGTCATGCATTCCAAAGTTTAGGAGCCTAGGCAATGTTGTTAGATCTAGACCAGATTGATTAAACCATGAACCAGCCTTCTTTCCAAATTGGTAAGTAGTACAAAATTTTTTGGTAAAAAATCAGTCAAAATCATAAAAAATCAACCAAACCAATGACCCGATTCGACTATTTGATTCGATTCTTAAATTTATCTTTCTTATTTTTCTCAAATATAATTTGAATTACCTAAATTGTAAAACTTTTATTTACTAATAAGAATAAAAAAAACCACTCGGTGTAAACAACAAAATCACTCACATCCTAAATAATCTCTAAATTAAAAAAGTTTTCATCCCTATCATCTTATCAATTTATCATGAGTGATTTTGACTTGCATTAGAAAGCCATATTCCCAACAAAAATATCTCAAATTAGATATGATTTGTTTTAATTTAGTTTTTCAAGTAGTTTTGGAGAACGAACATGTTGTCGACATGAATTCACATTTTTATATACAATTTTTAGGTGGATATTTGATTGCAAGCCTAAAAATTTTGGAATATTGTTGTATGGTTGACCAAAATATAGCCAAGAACTTAATTTCAATATTTCTAAAATTTATAAAATTATGACATCGTGTTGACATCAGTGAATTTTTTTAGAACGGTCCGATCAATCTGATCAGTTGATCCTTGATCTAATAGTTTAGCCGAGTTGCTGAGTTTAATAACCAATGAACCTAGGTAATAATATCCGATCAAATAACTGATGGATGAGATGTGCAGAACAAGAAGTCACGGAAAACCTATCCTCGCACGCCTCTTCTATGCATTTCTTATTTTTAATGAAATTGCAGACATTTATTAGCTTAAATGTAACAGCTTAAAACTAAGAAATGTGAATCGAGTTATTCCACAACTTACGAATTCACAACAAGAGGAAGATTATCATACATCCATAGTTGTAGTAAATTAACCGAGTTGGGTTGGGAATGGCTCCTATGTTCGCTTTTATAATTAAGTATATTTGTACGTACATCCATGAATCAAACTGAATCATAACTACTGCAATGGAGCTGATCATGTATAAAATAAAGAGTAGTAACACACGATGCCTTTACAGCCGCCCGCGTACAATCAGCTGAAGTAAAACTTTAAATTAACTACTACTAGTTATGTCAGTTTTGGTTCACTACGCCACCTTTAGTTTTGCCGAAAGTAATAAGCGATGAATTCCTACTGTATTTGCTGCATGCACAACTATCTGAATAAAATGCAATTGCATGCATGTATCAAATTTAATTATCTACTAAAAATCTATTTGCAAAAGAATAACTAGAAAATATTAGCACGGCAAAGTTTGCTTGGTTCATCGATGATCATCCTTGATGTTTTCCTGCTGACAAAATTCAAAACACCAAAAGACCAAATGTGTCAAGTGCGAAGGTATGTGCTTATTCATCTAATTGTTACCTTTAGATCATAATCCACATTTGATTCATCCTCAGAAGATTCCCTTTCCATTTCTGATTTTTTTTTTCATTTCTCACAATGCATATTTGGATGCATGATATGTGTTTTTATTTATTAGAAAAAGACATGATCATTTTAAATTTAACGATTCTTAACCCTTATTAATAAATGAAAACACGTATCATATCATATATCTAAATGTGCAAATGGAAAGAGTATCCAATGAAGAGTTTTTTAATGAAGTGTAACTCTACTTGAACTACTCTCAAAATTTTACAACAAATATGTAATTATTATGCATGAGACCTACATGAACAGTAACAAAACATCACACTTCTATTATAACGATATATAAGCAGTTCATTTAGAATTATAAAATATTCAAAAAATCTACAAGAGTGATTGCGCACACATAAGTGCAAAAATCTACAAGAGACTAGGCAATGCCCCTTCCCCCCCCCCCTCCCGCCCCACGACTCTCCAAAAAAAAAAACTCTTATTCCTTAAAAATAGTTATGTGGGTAGTTATACTTCTATTCGATCAGCTTCTATTCCTCATTTTAAAAAGAAAAAAAGAAATATTGCTATAAATTTTTGCAATTTTATTTTCAACAAACATTTTACACAAGAAATTAGTATTTTTTTTTTATAAAAAAAACACTAAAGAGAGTTTCCTAAAAAAAATCCCGAACTCCATTGGTTGAACTTGAAAATAGCTTACAGTAGATCAATTTGAGTGAAAACTTGTTTTAATAAGTTGACACGACTAAACAAACATTTGTACCAGGATTCTGAATCACAGAATTAGGCATTCTTGCAGGATTTTGGATCACAGAATTTTTGTTTTCAAAGAGATCAAGAATGCAAAATTCCTTATTCGTGATGCTCCAATCAATGTGGCCCAACTTTACGACAATTTGAAGGTCTTTCCATCAATTATCGATGTGATAATACACATATTATTGTTGAGAAGTCCACCTTGAATTAATTCTACAAGCATGAAGGGTCTCCATCATTATAATTGTATGGTTTATTGATTTGTTGGCGTTGCCTTCTTTGGGTTAATGGATAATATTAAAGAGAAAAGCAATATAGTGTGGCGTTGCATGCATTATGCTTTTGCGTTGCGAAACTAACAACAAGTGTTAGTAGTAGAGATGCAAACGAGTCTCATCCAATTATCTATGCTTGTAATTTTTTTTTTTTTTTCGGGGGGACATGACATCCAACTAGAGTTGAA